CTGGCTTCAGCTGTTACCAGTTCAGGTCGTCCCATGTCAGCAATACGAATCAGAGCAAGCAGTGTGACGCGCCTAAATTTCATCTTGTTCAAAATTTAAAGTGGGAACAAAAAAGTGCCTGATAAACTTCGAAATGATAAAATGGTGGCGGAAAAGTGTAGCAAAATGCGAATTAACAGCGAAATTGTAAGTCCGCAGCGAAGATGTTGCAGTTACATGGTAATGACATTATGCGGTCCGGATCTGGATACACTGAAGCAGTCCAAAAAGTTGACCAATTTCAGCGAAAGTACCACATTACGTGTAGCAATTCTTAGCTTATATGCCATCAAACAGGTACATTCATTCACTTGTACCTCAGCAAATGGGAAGGCCCTAGTTCTTTTTATGCACTTCTGCGGTGTGGCGCTGTAGCGCTGCAACAGTCAGCAGAAACGCATTTCGTGATAACCCAGCCTACAAGCGTATGTCTGTGTGGGTGTCTGTGTGTTCATCTGTCCGGGTATTTTAACTCAGCAACCAAGCAAGCTTAGATGCTGGAATTTTGCCAGTGGATTCCTTGACAAACGCTATCTCAGGAACGTGGCACCAACTTTCAGTCATGTCTGAGTTTTACGTGAGAGCACGCAAAAGTTTTGCCGGGAAAATCGCAATTTAGGAATCAGAAAAACTAGAAGGCTGAAATTTTAAGGGGATGCTCCCTTCCCACGTGCGATTTAAAAATTTGAAATTCAATTCTCAAGTCCTCATACAGGGCGGATGAAGGAGATTTTGGTAGAAAAATTATTAACTCGGAAATCAGGTGAGCTAAAAAGCTAGAATTTCGAGAGATGCTGTTTGTCTACATGTGGTTAAAAAAAACCCTTTTCAAACTCAATTCCTAAGAGTAGCTAGACCATTTTCAAAGAACGATCAGTCACCGGGAACTATTCATTTTCCTTCACACAAGATTTTGGGCAATTTGCGGCAACAAGTGCATAAGTTAAATATACAGTAGCAACCATTTATGCTATGACCTGACTGCTTTAAGTCCAGCGTAAAAAAGCATGATCGCACCAGCAAGCTTGGCCCTCATAACTCAGGCTTTTAATTTCCTTTCATGCGAAACTTACAGTAATCATGCATGCTGGAGATCAAATTTTCATGCGGTCCCATCATGCAGCACTGCTGTCTCAGATGACATTCTTTCCTTCCTGCATGTGAAAAAGACCAAAACACTGCCAATATGAGTGCAATTGTTAAACTGTCAAACGCCTAATCAGACAGACTTAAATCAAATTTTTAATTAAAAATTTTGTAAACTAAATACAATTAGTAATTACATGAAAGCTTTTCTGTAAATTAATGGCGAAATTTAATAGTATTTAACGACTGCGATGCCACAAATCGTCTTAGAAGAGAAAGCCGCATTAGTGGATGTCGTGTATAAAATTTGCTTAAAGGCAATTTTTCACTTTTCAGTTACATGAGATTGGGTATGTGCATCGCGATATTAAAGCAAGTAACATAGCGGTGTCGGTTCAGGATCGCCATGTACTGTATTTGGTGGACTTTGGCATGGCTCGAAGATATGCTGTTTTCTCTAACAAGCGATGGTCCATCAGACAGCCGAGGAAGAAGGTTGGACATTTTTCTTAAACTGCTAAATTAGAAGAAACAAAAA